CTCACCTTCTGTTCATTCTCTTCCTCTTCTTTTTCCCTCTGGTATTCTTCAAAAGCCTCAGCGTCATCCACAAACAAGCTTGCATTGGACAGAAATAGCTCCCGACCACTGAGATTACATATCCACATAATGAATCAGCTTACGAGGACAAAACAGAGTCACACTGGAGATTATGGGTATGCAACAGAATGATGAATGGGATTATTACCTCATACGGTCGTTCTTAGCTCTCTCCGCTTGAGATGCAGCCAAACCTGCATCTCTCTCAGCTATTTTCTTCCTCTTCCATTCCATAAATAGCGCTGGAGTCATCTGTGTTGCGGTTTTCAGTTTTGCACGCTGAAACACAGCCAAGAAAAAAAAATACCCAAGTGAGTCTCACGAATTAAGCTCGGGTTCCTATAGCAAGTAATGAGAATATTGGGAAACTGGAAGGGTCTTAAACCTCGTTTTCGATTTCTTCTTCAACTGGCATCTTCTTTGATTCCTCTTCCAAGAGGGCTTTCATTTGAGATTTAAGGATATATCCCGGAGGAAGTGCGTGTCTGTAAATACACTCTTTGGCACCATTGGGGCAAGCCCAGAACCAACCATACTGTTTCTTCTCCACCGCATCCAGAAAATACTTGCAAACCTATAATATATCGAAAAACACAAAAACAATTAGCAAGACCTTGGTAGCTGAAATCTCTTATAAAAGCTCATAGTACTCATGCAAGATAAAGATTTCATCATGTGTTTAGGATAATGTTTTGAAGATGTTTCAAAGACGCCGCGTTACTACTTCTCTTATTATAGAATTAGCTAAGTATACTGTTAAGAAACAATCAGATCATGAAAATATGTCGTTTAAACCACTACCATCACCAGAAGCATGAGTTCTTGTCGCATGATCCAAATGAGGAGAGAGCAACAAGGAACAACAGGAGGAAAAATGACGTGTAAGAGGCTCCTAAGATGAACCAGGCTATTAGCTAAAGGCAACATATTAGACATAAAACCGAAAACTGATGCATCACTTCGCATTATTCATGAGTAGTCATCACATACTAAAGGCTGAATATTTGTACAAAATTAACTTCCGACTTTCACAACATGCATTACCTAGAGAAAAACTACGGATAGGCATTCATGACGAAACCCAAAGCCCTCAACCAACAAGTCAAAACAAAGCACCAAATAAAAACTTTGATATACACAAGAGATAAAGAAACTTACAATATCTGTTGGCTTATTCTGGTTACTATATTCATTTTTCTTTGATTCCACAACTTTTTCAAGCGTCTCTTGATCCCACTCCTCCATGTTTCCATCTAAAATCATAAATAAATAAAACCAAACATAAGAAAATCGTTGAAGAGACCGAAATGATTGAAATATAAGGCACTTTTGCGGTTTTATACCTTCATCACGCTCATCGCTGTAGATACTGGCCTTCTCGCCCTTCCTTTGAATGTTCAAATCATGAGAGAATTTGCACTTGAAACCCTTTTGACATTGCCCCGCCTTAAAAAACTCACACAGTATAGACTTTGGATCCACACCTACCAAAAACCACTACCATATTATATCAAGTATCAACACATCGAAACAGAACTCGAGAAACAACATCAAAACAACACATGTAAGATCAAAATTCATCAGAGACATACCTGGAGGAACTTTGGGCTGACTAATTGCTACCTTGAACAACTCATTCAATTCAGCTTCCCTAGCTTTCTCTTCATCTTTCTTTTTCTGTCCTCAAAAACAAAAAAACAAAACATTTTTTTTGTAAGAATTTATCACTCACTCACTCATAAGAATTCAAAACATCTACTTCACTATCAAAACTAACTCGAATCATCAAGAAACTCAAATCAATGAATCAAGAGTTTACCTTTGCTGCAGCTTTAGATGCATCGGGTTTAGGTTGAACAGATTGCTTGAGACTCTGAACATACTTTTGAACATTCTTGCTCTTGTTCTTATTCTTCAGACCGAAAGTTTTGTCTTCAACTTGTTTCTGCTTTTTCGCCAAATCGGCTTTGGGTTGTTGCTTTGGAGGCATCTTCGTCAAATCAAAATCCCAAAAACACAAACTTTTTTAATGTACACGGATCGATGAGAAGGTTCTAGAGCTTACTGTATCAAAATTAGGGTTTTTAAGATTTGGAGTGAAATTTTTTGAAATAGAAACGTAAAAACCAAATTCAATCGGTAAAAGAGAAAAAAACCCAGAATCTGTATCGAACCAAAACGGCGGAGAGATTCAGAAAATTTCCCCAGAAGCAGACCCTAATGACTAATTACCGATACAGATAGG